TGCGTGTGTGTGGGTGCCCGCATGAATAATACACACTTCGCTCTAACTGGAGTTCAAGCAGCTGGTTGACAACACTGCCAACCTGCGAATCGCAATTTCAAGGCCCGCCTCGGACCAAGGGTACAAGAATCATCGGAGCAGGGAATGGGGTCTTACGACATTTCACGATCGATATGACAGTGCGACCGTCGTGGAGGCAAAGCTTTGGAGAACTGCGCCATATACCTTCGGCCCGTCGCGTTCACACCTATACAGTACGAGGTGATCAGGATCACTACCGTAGCAGCCTCGCCTGCGCACCCATTCATAGACATGGCAAGCATCGAGCAGGAAACCTTAGAGTGTTTGAATCAGTGGCCGGCTGACAGCCAGGCGGCCATGCTGTGGCCATTTGGTGCAACATCTGCGCTGCCTGAGCCGGTAGCAGAGTGTGTGGTGCGTTGGCTGGGTCTCAGCGTGCGAGCCCTGCGGCTGACCAGCCAAGCGGCAAGGGTTTTCATCGACAAGCGCCTGCAGAGCGTGATGTTGAGGAGCGCGGCGCAGATTGCCGATCTCGCTGCCGCTGCGCCCTGGCTGGCCGCGGTGCGCAAGCTCAGAGTTGCGACGCGCTGCGCATCTGATGTCGCCGCGCTCGCCGCGGCGCTCCCCAGCCTGGGGCAGCACTGTCGCATCGAAGTCCTGGAAGTCACCCACGAATCCGCCAGCGGGCAGCTCAATCTGGTGGGGCTGAGGCTGCCAAAGGCGCTATGGCGGCTGAGGACCCTCGAGGTGTTCGTCTGGCGCCAGGCCGAGGGGAGCCATGCGGCCGCCGAATCCCGCGCAGCCTATACTGCCGCAGCGGCGCGTCTGCCTTTGCTGGAGCGCCTGAGCGTCGTCACTTGCGATGCAGTTTCTATCGACATGCCGTTCAGGCGCTTTGACGCAGCCCCGCACCTGGGGGCTTGGCCACAGTTGCAGGTGGGCTGGGGCGATGCCGTTCGAGGTCAGGGGCCGCCTGTTTACAATTTTGCACGCGTGCGTGGGACCCTGGTAGTGCGGTGCAGCTGCTGCTGACGAGTGTTGGCTGCTACAACGAGCTTGCTCTGCTCCGCCGCCCGCCACTGACGACAGGAGCTGACCCTCAACCACGTCACTATGCCAGAGCTGTGCGCCCTGGCGGCGCTCGAGATGCCGCGCCTCACCATCCTGCATTTTTATGGCAGCAGTGTCTTCGGCCAACTCACCCCAACCGCTGGCGGCCACGTCGCGACCGGCGTGCAGACAATGGTGTGCGCCCCTTGGTTTGGCAGGCTGCGGTCGCTTACAGTTGACGACAAGGACTCACCCACCTTTGGCGCCCTTGCAGGCTGTGGCGCGCCCTGCCTAGAGCGTTTGACACTTTTCTGTCACCATTTCCGTGACGTTGCAGCGGCGGCCTTCGGGCAGTTGGCTCTGCCCTCACTGCGTGTGCTGAATTTGCGTGATTACCCGGCTGACTTCAGGATGTTTGATGTTTCCAGAAGATAGGCTAACAGCGCGCGGCGTGGCGGCGCTGCTTGCTGCAGAGGGGCTCACGGACAGCCTGCAGGAGCTGTGCATAGAGCAGCACAATGAAAGCGTGGCGAACGGAGACGCCATGGTGGCAGCGGTCGCCAGCGCGCCTCTGGCAGCCATTTGTAGCTTCGCAATGACTGGCTGGCGGCACACAGACGCGTCCATAGCTTCGGTGGCTCGCGCCTGCTGGGCGCCGCAGCTGGCTGGTCTCACCTTCACCAGCGTCGATGGCCGCTTCCACCACAGAGGGGCTGCATGGCGGGCGCTGGCCGTCGCACCCCTGGGGTCGCTGCGGGAACTTTACCTTGACTTTGAGCCCTACATGTCGGCCGGGGTCGCAGCGCACCTCATGTCTGCGCCCTGGCTTGGCGGCCTGCAAAGGCTCCGCTTATCTGGCTTGAGCAGGGGCGCTTTTGAGGTGCTGGAGGCCAGTCCCACATTCTTGCGCTTGCAGGCCTCGCATTGGGTCGATGTGTCCGACGTGGAGGCAGAGCAGGCTGCGGGGGCACCTGCCGTGGGCGCCGCAGGTTGACACGGCTCTCAAGCGGTTTGCGAATCGGGACGTGCCCAGTTCCAGCGGGCAGCGCCCGCCTTCCCGCCAACCTTCGCCGGCTTGCCACGCCCGCAGGCGCAACTCGCCGGCCTGCCGGCTGCCACGCAACACCCTTGCTTTGAAGGCATTCGCACACAGTGGATCACCGTGATCCACTCCAATCGAACCCCGACATTCACCCCACGTTGTCAGTCAGTGACTCCCCTCCCTCAACGCTTGACCACGGCCAACTGGTTGGTGATCAGCAGTTGTGCTTTTGTTGGCTGTCTGGCGTGCTGATCGCCGAATGCGCTCTCTTGCATCTAGTTGCGCCGCGACCTTGTTTTGATGTAACAAGCATCTGCGGCCGTGCTGTGATGAATGAATTGGAGTGGACTGCCGCTTTCCAAGCAGATTCTGATTGTTCAGGCACCGCGGCTTGCAGTGGCTCCTGTCAGACGGACAGCCTGCGTGTGCTGAGCATGCGACGCGCATCCCAAACAAGTGCAAAATCTGTAAGCGAAGGGGCTGTGGCGCGGCGTGCTGTTGTGCAGAGGGCTGGTGCCGCGTATGTGAGGACACAGTGCTGCAGAAGCCGCCATCAAAGCGTGTGTGACGACGGGCGGGCGGGCTCCCATGAAGGGGTGTGTGGCGGCACCTGCGGTTGGCGCCTGCTGATGTAGGGGCTGCTGCCCTGATCGGCTACCGGGGGTATGGCATCGTATGTCACTGATATGCGCGTCAGCAGGTTAGCGGAATTGCTGTGTAACCATCGCTAAGTCAAGCTGTGCGCTTGCAAACATACTCCTCCTTTCAGTGTGCCTTGAAGCTTGCAACACCTCACAACTTCATCAAGGTGCTCAGACCCATACAGTATGCCTATGAGCCGTCTGTCAACTGCCTGCTACCATTCGTAGGCGACTGGCGCACACATGCGTGCAGTTGCAGGTCTCGCGTGCCCGCTAAGGTGAGCATGTCAATTTCAAACAGTCTGCCTCTCTGGTGGCTGTTACATGCCGGTGGGCGCCTGGGTGGCTATTAGCCACCCAGATGATTCAAGCAGATACACCCTTTGAGCAACAAAAAACAGGGCTGTGGCGGAGGTCAAGAGGGGTGCAAGCATCTGCACACCTCTGGTTGCCATGCAGAGCGGAAACAGGCTGGCCTCATCGCGTACAGCAACGCATATGAGCTGCAGCAGGATGTGCGCAGCAATCCGGCGAGCGACAAACGAGTTGGAAGTCCATGGTGACCTTGAGCGCATATTTGTGGATGCCAGCTGAACATAACACGTATGTACAACAAACGAATGCCAAGCGCGGATGAACCAACTTGAAGATGCCTGCACCCCTCCGGCGGCATGTTTGCCAGCCTACCAGCCACGGAACCCGCCGCCGCCCCCGCCACCGCGCCTAAAATCGTCCCCCTTCAGCGGCCTGCTCCCGCCGCCGCCGCCGCCGCCCTCCTCATCATCGTCGTCCGGCCGCCCCCACCCCGGCCGCCGCTCCCACTCCGGCCGCTGCCCCGGGCGCCGCCAGCCGTCGGCCGAGCCGTCCTCGCCGTCCCCCGGCCGGAACGGCTCCCACTCCGGGTTGCCCCGCAGACGGTCGCCGCCGAGGCCGCGCCCAAAGCCGCCGCCGGGGCGGCCGCCGAACGGCGAGCTGGTCTGCTGCTCCACCCTGCGGAACCAGGCGTCGCTGCTGCTGGTGCCAAACGGGTCCAGGCGCCCCGACTGGAAGGCAGAGAGGCCGCCGGGGCCGCCGCCGCGCATCGCGCGGCTGAGCCGCTCCAGGAACTCGGCGGGGTCTGGCGGCGCGCCCTCGTCGCCCTCGCCATCTTCGTCGTCGCGGCGGCCGCCGCTGCCGCCGTTTGCGCGCCGCTGCTGCCGCCGCTGCTCGGCCTCGTCCTCCTCCCACATGCGCCTGGAGTGCCGCGAGGGTGATGTCGAGAGAAAAAAAGGGTCGTGAATGAGAAGGGAGGAGGCCGGTGGCGCGTGTGCTGCGACAACAGTTGCGTACTTGTAAGTAAAAACTTCCCTTGCACTGCAGGTGTGCGTTGAGCGCTGCGGTCACTCCGACGCCTGAGGGCTGCCGCAAGCCCATCCAACCCGCTATGCGCCATAGGCCCCCAGTCACAGCGCCCAGAATCCCGCTCGAACCCCCAGCAGGGCCGCACGCTACGTCGCCCTGCGAGGAACGGCACCCACCTGTGAGCGTCCCAGGGGTTGACACCGCGCCCTGCGCCACCGCCGCCGCCCATGCCCCCGGGCCCTGCTCCTGCTGAGGACGGCCCGGGCTCATCCACGTCCCGGAAAAAGCCAAAGCGGCGGATCGAGTTTTGGGCGTCGTAGTCGCGGCGCCGGTCGGGGTCTGACAGGGTGTCGTACGCGGCCTTCACCGCCATGAAAGCCGCGCCATCGTCAGACTGTGGAGTCGAAGGGGAAGGGGGTGGGTGTCAGGTTGCACGCGGGCGTGTTCAGGAAGGGCCGAGTTCCCAGGGGGCAGCATCGGGTGAGCGGCGGCAACGGCGGCATTTGCTTCTTTGGCGGCTGGCCGCGCTGCCCCAGGCGCCACTGCTGCCAGGGTGTTGAGTTTGCGATGGCCTCTCCCCCTGCTCCCGCCCTCTGCAAAAGCCTAGGGTCTGCAAGGGGAGCGGCACCCCCGAACTCGCCTGCTGGTTGACGTCTGGATGCAGCTCCTTGGCCTTGCGCCTGAACGCCGCCCGCACCTCCTCATCGCTCGCGTCCGCGTCAACGCCAAGCACGTCGTAGTGGGTGGCTAAGGGTGGGGCCGTGTACAAGGATGACAGATGGGTGCTTAGCAGGCCACGAGGGGTGGGGTGGCGCCGTGCGCATGCAAAGCACTAGCACAAGCAGGGTTGGCGCCTGCAAGCGGTGCGATGCAGCACGGCGCAAAGACCGGCTGTTGCTGCTGCCATTGCAGACGTACGTCATTATATTGCGTAACGCCTCTCCATGCCTCCAAACCCCGCATGCGTGCCCAGCTGCGCATTGATTTTTGAGACAAGCACGCCTCTGCCCTTGATCGAGCGACTCACGTTTGCCGTACGCCCTACATATAATTGAAGAGCCTCGTCTATGCGGGCCTGCAGTCCCGCACGGCGCGGTGGGTCCACAAGATCGTCTACCAAAAAATGTATGCATGACTGCAGGCTTCCTACGTCTGGACCAGATCAGTTTGGTTTTATCGTCAATCTGTAAGCAGCAAGGCACGGGACGCCCCATCTTGCAAGGGTTCATTGTGCTGAGTGACATGTGGTGCCGCCGGCGGGGCTGGTGTGTTTCGGTTACCACAGCAGCTGGGATGGGTGCTTTCCAAAATCTGCTGCGCAGGGATGTCGGGTCAAAGGTTGTCTTGGCTGGCACACATTCTACACAATGCAGTGCACGCGCGCGCGCGCACGCACACACACACACAGACACACACATACACACACACGCACGCGAGCATGCACACACCGCGACTTCGGTGGGAGCGGCCTTGGCTAGCAAAAGCGGTGCGGATGCATCAGACCTTGCCCCCATGTTTGCAACTGACAAGGCTGCCCCTGACAAGTATCCCCTATCCCGCCCAGAGTACTCACACAGGGACAGTGGGTTTGCGTAGTTGGTGCATCACAGTACCATCCTTAAATCCGTACATGAACTCAGCTCTACATGGCACAGTTGTGGCAGCCCGCGGCTCAGCCGCGTGCAGTCGCCTGCTCAGCACAGCGCTGCTTGCCGTTGGCGGCTGCCAGCGATGCGCGCGAGCGCATGTGCGCAGCAGGATGGCAAATGCAAAAAAGCAATTGTTTGACAGTAGGAGCCAGTGTGCCAGAATACTGATAAAGCACACCTGCATGAGCGGAATGTGGTCGCCGGCTCGCTTGCTGTTGTGTCGGTAAGCGCAAAGGTTGCCCGAGAGCGTTGTGCCACCTGCACGAGATGCTTTGCCGATCACAAAGCTCGGCTTGTTGACGTGCAGCGGGTCCCGCGTTGTGCCACAGGAGCGTGCAGGACAATCAGGTCAGGTCACATACCGCCAAGGTCAGTTTGTTGCGCACACTCCTGCCATACAGCCGGGCCACCCAGGTGGAAGGATAACGCTGGTGCACACATAACGCAGTGCACATGAGAGAATCGAACCCAAACAAATGGGTGCACCCTGCAAATCAAAGACTGGTCAGCATGCGGGCAGCTGGACCCAGGCCCAGGGCCGACCCAGGGCCCACTCTTGCTGCCGCTGATGAATGCCCCATCCAAGGGTAGTTTTGCCAGCTTGCTCAGACCACCTGTGTGCCAAAAATCTGCTCCGCCGTGTTCTTCTGTGCGGCATTGTGCGCGCCCGCTGCTGCCTTGCCGCCGTGCTCTGCCGCGGCGCCGCCCCTCATCCTGCCGCCCTGCTGCTGCGCTGAGCGCTCACGGCCGCGCTGCTGCTGCTGCTGCTGCGGCGCCCACAGGCCCGCGCTCGCGCTCGCCCCGCCCGAGCCGGCGCCAGTGCTCTCTGTGCCGTTGCCCATGCGGCCCGCGCGGCCGCCGGCAGCCTTCTTCCTGGGGGGGCACTGCTGTGTGTCTCTCGTGCGGGTCATTTGGGAAGCATCCATCGTAGTGGTGTCCATGCTGCGGTGGCGCATGCAGGACAAGGGCATAGTTGTAAGAACAAAGGCGCGGTTGATATGGGATTCCACCTTGAGCTATGTGCAAGAAGGGTAGCAAGAGGTTAGGGTGGGCAGCAGGTTAAAAAGGGGTGAGGCGCTCCAGGTCAAACCGTTTCCCGACCAGCTGCCCACCTGGTGGCCATGCTAGACAGGCGGCCGCCCCCCCGCGCGCCGCCGCCCGCCGCGGCCGCCCTGGAGTTGGCCCTCTGCTGCCCGTTGGCGCCGCCGCCGCCGCCGCCACCAGCGCCGTCGGCGCGCCGCGCTCCGACCGCGCCGCGGGCCTGGTGCTGTGACGCGGGCGGCGGCATCGTGCCGCGCGCCGCCGCCGCCTCCTGGCGGCGCTTCTTGGCGTCCATCGCCTCCCTGCGCGCCGCCAGCAGCTCGTCGCGCCGCCGGTGGTCCACGCACCCGCCCTCGCTGTCGCTGGGCGCGACGCTCTCGCTCGGGCCGCCGTCGCTGTCGCAGCCGTCGGGGCCGCCGAAGCTGAAGACGCCGAGCGCCTCGATGCCGCGCGCGCGCGCCGCCGCCTGCGGCGCCTGCTGCTTCGCGGCGGGCTGGATGTCATCGACCCCGCGGGGCGGCGCCTCGGGCTCTGGGGCCTTGCGCTTCAGGGCCCTGCCAGGCGATTGGTTGATAGGAAAATACAGCTGTCAGAAGAGTGCCTGGATCAATCTTCAGAGGGTGCATAGGCGGGTCAGGTCAAATGAGAGTTTATGAGCCTGGCCAGTGCTCGCAGAAGTCACCCACCCCCACTTGGGCTGCCAAGGTCCCATGCGCACCCGTGCTGCGGGCGCAGCCCTGCCGCCGTGCTGGGCGGCGCCGCAGGTGGCCCTGGCCGCGCCGCGTCGTGCTCTGAGATGAAGGGCGTCTTGGTGGCCAGGTGCGCGTCGCCATCCTCCGCCTTGCCGCCTCGCTCGCCGCCAAACGCTTGCCTGCTGGCGGCCTCCTTACCGGCGGCACCCTTACTGGAGGCCTCCTTGCCACGGCCGGGCCTGGAACGCTGGTTGCGGGGCGGGACCTCTTGCGCGCGGCCCGCGTCCGCCTCCTTCTCCCCCTCCGCGCCAATGCTGTGCTGGGAGCGCTGGCTTGCGTGGCTGCTGAAGCGGCCCGGCGTGGCCCTGGTGGCCACACCGCCGTCGCCGCCACGCACGTGCGCGCGACGCCGTGCCTCCCAACCCTTCTCCCCTGACTGCTCAGCCTCGTCCATGCTGTCATGCGCCACATGCACGGCGCCGTGCGGGTCACCTGCCGCGGGCACCGCATTCGTGGTGGTGGCTGCTGCCAGAGCGTCGGCGGGGGCGGCGGCAGCAGCCTCTGCAGTCTGGGCGCGCGCCTGTGCGGCCGCCAGGTCGCTGCGCGCCTGCTGCAGCTCCGCCTCGACGACCTCCAGCGCAGCCTTTGGGAGACGCGGCAGGATGTGTGCAGCCAACTTGGTGCCAATGTGTGCCTGAACTACGGTGCAGGACAGCGTTCGCAACGGGCGTCAATTGCACGCAGCAGGAACCGACAGAACGCGCACCTTGGCCTCGTCGGCCGCCGCCCAGGCCTGCTTCTGCTCAGCTGCCGACGCCTCCGCCGCGGATGCTTTGTCGGCGAGTGACGCTCGCAGGCGGTCGCACTCAGCTGCCGAGGCGATGAGCTGCTTCTCCTGAGTGGAACACGATGAAAGGATTTGTCGTTAAAACCCCAACGAGAGGAATGTGAAGGTAGATACATACCTGCACACCAGTACATTCATGTGCCCCCCATTTTGCAGCAGACATTCAAGCATCAACGCGATTACATGCATTCCTGGGCTGACTGAAGGCACTGAACCTCATGGCCCTCCCGCACCTTGGCTGCGAAGTCGCAACACGCCTGCTGGCCCGCCGCTCGTGCCGTGGACAGGTCGCGGTCCACGTCCTCCAGCTGCTGGCGCAGCCCCGCCATTGCACTGTGGGGTTGTGGAGTCGCCGGATGGCAGCCCAGCACAGATGCAGTAGTCAGCTGAACCGACTTGATTTGTCGCAGTGCTTGCTAGCACGTGCAGTCTCACACACCGAGCACGCACAGCCACAGTCCTACCTGCGACCCGCCCCAAATTGCACCCAGGGCTCTCAACGAACCTCTCCAGCTGGCGCCGCTGCTCCTGCGCCTCCTCCGCCGCCTTAGCCGCCCCCGCGCGCGCCTCGGCCAGCATCGCCTGCAGCGCCTCAGATCCGGAGCCCAGCTCGCCCCTGAGGCGCGCCAACGCGGCGTCGCGCTCCAACGATGCGTCGCGCTTGGCGGCGGCCAGCTGACAATCATGGCGTTTGGGGGAAGTGGTGCAGTGTTGGATATGCATGGGTGCAAAACAAGGGGCGGGGCATCGTCGTTTTTGCAGAGAGCATAGGGTGCGCAGACCGCAAAGACGAGCAATGCTGACTTGTACACACACATGCAGCTTGTCAAGGCCAGCTGGCCGGTGAGCCGGCGCCAGCTCCAAGATTGGCGTTTCTGTCATATGCATATCGCCGATGCCAGCCACCAGTCACTCATGCCCACGCTCACCCGCTCCTTGTGCTCCTCCTCACACCTCTTTGCCGTCTCCTTGGCCTCCTTGGCTACGCCGTCTGCCGCTGCGCGTGCTGCAGCCAGAGCCGCCTCTTGGGTGGCCATTGTGGCCCGCAGGTCCTGGAAAAAGAATCAAAATGATGCAGTGGCAGACTGCACTCAACACACCGGAGCACTGATGGACATTGCTTGCGCAAGGGGTGCCCTGCGCGTGCCATCACTTGGCCAGTTTGCGGCACCCGCACCTGCTGCCAGGCCAAGACGCCGCACCTTGACCAGGGTGTCTGTACTGCTGCGAGCCTTGCTGGCGTCTGCCAGCCGGGTCTTGAGTGTGTCGCGCTCCTCCTCCAGAGACTGCACCTTGGACTCTAGCTGTGGACGTTGATGGAGGGCGGCAGACCGGGGAAGGGGTGGCGCAGGGGTGGTTTGGGTTGGTAATCAGGGTGACGTCAGGTGAGCAGATCGGCAGCAACCATCAGGTCAGCAGCTTGATTTTACCAGGGTGGCTTCTGGTGTCTTGCAGCATAGAATGCCTGGGTTGAAAGCCCTGCAGCCCGACTGTTGTGATTCAGGGCCCCACCTCGGCCTTGGCGCGCACGGCCTCCTTCTTCTCCTTCTCAGACCTGTCGTAGGCCTGCAGGAGAGCATGGGGTAGGAAGGGTGCGGGCGCGGGAGCAAGAGGCACGACAAGTCAGAGTCCAGCAAGTCTGTTTCAGATTAAATGCGCGCTGCTCCAGCAATTGCCACAGTTTGCTGCAACACAAACCTCTGGAATTGGGGCCTCTCCAATAAAACACCGAAGACTGCGATGTGCAACAAAGTGCAGGCTAGCCATCATCACCAAACCCAATCCCACCAACCCACCGCGGCGTTCTGTTTCTGGTAGTGTTGGAGTTCCAGCGCCGCGCGGCTGTTGGCCTCCTCGGTTGCACGCTGCACCGCGGACTCGTTGGCGTCAAGCGCAATGGCGAGCTGGGCCCGCGCCTCTTCAAGGTCCTGGCACGTGGAGGCCTGAGGCAGGTGAGGCAGCAGGGCAGCAGCACTGGTGGGATGGTCAAAAATAAATTACCATGTCCAAGTTGGTCGCCTTGCTGAACAGCGTTGACAGGCGGGGGTGCATGTTTGCAGATGTACAAACGTAAAGGCGCACATGCGTACACATACAGGTCATGCGTCATGCGCACCAGCTGCTTGTCAGCTGACGTCTTCTCGACGGCGGCACGCGCAGCGGCTGCCTCTGCCTCCTCGCGTAGCTCAATCAGGTGCTGCTCCAGGCCCTCCTGTAGAGAATACCAAGTGTAGATACAGCATGCTCAAGAATATTGCGCGGCACTTTCACGCTTGCCTCAATGAAACAGTCCTAGACTCCTTGAAGCGAGCTCGTGTGGATGCTGTGTGACCAATTGCTTACAATCATATATGCGCGTATGGATGCGTGACAAGAGTAAGCCCTCTGCCCTACACACCTTGGCCGTGCTCTCCTGCTGCAGGGCAATTTGACACTCGTCCAGCGCCGTCTGCACCTCCTGCGCAGCAGCGCGCGCCGTCTCGGCTTCCCGCTGCGCACTGTCAAGCTTGACCTGCAGCTCCTCGGTCAGGGCCTTGGCCTGGCATGGGAATTGGGTGGACGGACGAAAGGCAACAAGTTGCTTGAACTGACGGACAATGTACAGAAACATTGTTGCCATGCTGGAAGTTGAAGAGGTTTGTACACCTTCTGGAAGCCAAAACAACTGCCATGCGTGCTGGCTCAAGTGCATCCGCAGCTGGGGTCTGCCCACTTGCCTGCTGCAGCTGCTCGTTCTTGGCGGCCACGTCGCAGGCCGCGGTGTCGCGTACGCCCTGCAGCACCTGCTCGGCCTCGTCCGCAGCGGCTGTGCAGAAAGGGCGGGGCGAGATTTGATTGTGTCGCTGGGTCCAGGTCAAGAGTTGCATGAGGGCTGGGCTGCCACAGAGAAGCGGGGGCAGGGTGCAAGGGCGCCCCAGTGGAGGGGGAAATGTACACCACACATGCCGCTGGTGCAATGTATGGAGGGCAACCCAAGAAGGCAAGCACATGCGCGCACCCTTGGCGGCGTCGGCTGCCTGCTTGGCTTCCGTCCGCATCAACTCGAGCGCCTTCTGCAGCTGGCAGCCGTTGGACACGGCGTCATCCCTTGGATCAGGAGGTGCAAAGCAGGGGGTAGCGTGCATGGTGAATAATCTGGTACAGCACGAGCGATGTGGCTTGTGCAACTGGCGGCCTCTGCATGCATGCCAACACAACCAGAGGACGTGTAACAGCACACGGGCATTGAGTAGCCCCGCTCGCCCACCTCTCTTTGACCACAGCCGCCTCACGCTGCGCAGCCGCATCCCTGTCGTCCCGCAGTGCTGCTTCCAGGCCCACTGCGCGAGCGGTCTGGTTGGACACCTCCTCGGAGGCAGCTGTCAGTTGAGACATCAGCTGGTTGATGTGCTCCTGCAGGCGCGCCACTTCAGCAGAGGCAGTGCTCTCTGCCGCATCCTGCATATGTTCAGAAGGATGATTGAAAACAAGCACATTAATTCCTGCCTAGTGGTGGAATGAGCAGTCTCAAGCACGTGCCAAGAGGTCCAGAGCAATACGAGGGAGTGGCCTTGCAGGGAGTGCGGCCTCTGCCTGCCAGCATATCATGTGCAGCCCAGCCTCCCCTGACCGGTCGGCCTTGCCTTTGCCGTGCGCAGGTCCTCAAGGTCCTTGGCCCCCACCACCAGCTCATGCTTCGCGCGCTGCAGCTCGTCCGTCAGGCCAGCGGCCCGCTCGCTCTCTGCACATTTGGTTGAAGCGGACAGTTGAAGAAGTGCCCTGGCCAGACAGCAATTGCGCTACATTGCTGCATGTGGCTTGGCCACACATGGCACAACATGATGAGTATGAGGCAGGAGCTCCAACAGAAGCAAGGACGTTCCTCCTCCTAAGTCTGAAAACCTCCATGCCCAGGGGCGCAAACGAACCCAAATAAGAATTCCCTTGCCCTCACCCTTAAACAGGTCCGCCTCCAATTGCCTTTTGGATGCCATGAGCCTGTGGATGTTGCGCTCTGCCTCCTGCAGGGTTGTTGAGGCAAGGGGAGCGTGACAGAAGATCATTGGCATGCTTGAAGGGGGAGGGGGCGCAGTGTCAGGTGCGCTAAGAGGCCCCACCAACGGCACACCAGTGATCAACGGACGGAGCAGATATGACCAGCCCTGGCGGTGGACTGGAGCACGCGCAGGACACCAAAAACCTCAACAAACACCGCTTGTGGTGTGACCACAGGCCTCACTTTGCACTTGTCATTCTGCTGCACAATGACATCCTCGATATCAGAGCGGCGCTTGTCGACTGCAGGGGTGGCGGGATCGGAGCGTGGTAGACGGGACCAGATGGGACGATACACTCATGAACTGGAACGCATGTGGAAAGAGCGCCCTCATAAATGCATGGCCAAGAGCTTGCCCTGTCTACAGTGTTTGGCAAGGCTGCGCCGGGGGATTGCTCACCCTTTACAAGGGAGCCCTTGGCCTTGGCCAGCTGGTCTATCAGCGTGGCCTGCTGGGTGCAGAGGAGGTCCATGTTTGCCTGCACCCGCATGGAGGTCTCGCGCTCTGACATGGGGGGGGGGGCGGGTGCGCGCACGGAGGCTTGAAGTTTAGGGTCGCGTGCTGCATGAGGTAGTATGCTTGTGCATGCATGCATGCATGCCTTCATGCATGCATGCATGCCTTCATGCATGCATGCATGTGTGATGCATGCACAATGCATGCATGATGCTTGCACGCACGCGTGCATGCACGCAGGCGTACCAGCATCGCATGTGGGTGTGGCGTCAAGGCACGCTCGCCGCACGTGCCCCATGCCCCCAGCCCCTGCGCAAACCCGAACACCAACGGCCCGCTGGGGCGCCCTGTGCGCTCACCGTCCTGGAGGGTGGTGACCAGGTCAGACTTCTCCCTGCGCTCCCGCTGCAGATCCTGGTCCTTCATCTCAAGCTGCTGCTTCAACTCCTCCATCTTCGTGTGCTGCAATTCCATGCATCAGGTTGAGCGCTAAGATGCGAATGGTTTGTGCTGAGAATGTCCAGGTGTGCCGAGAACAGCCGCATCTTCCTGCAACAACCGCCCGGCTGCGTGTGTTGTGGGCCCTGCAGCGTGTGAAACGGCTGCATGGGCGCTCTATCAGCTCGCGTGACACCTACGTAGTGGCTCATCTTCTGCCGCACGTCCTCTTGCTCCCGCATCATTTTGTCTGCAAGGGCAGTGAATGCACACTTCATGCCGTGCCTGTTGAGTTCAAACACTGCCCAGCACGGCGACCTTTGAGGGCTGAGGCAGCCAGGGTGATCAAAGCTGCATGCATGCAGTGGCACCTAGCAACCAGACCCACCTGTCTGCTTCTTCAGTTGATCCAAGGCTCCCATCGCCATGCCCGTGACGGGCGCAGCGGTTGCGTTGCCGGCGCCCACGGGGCCCATGACACTGGCACCCGCAAGTGCGGGTCCCAGCGCGATCTGGCGATAGCCCTGCATCTCGAACGCTGCGGCCTGCCGACCAAAAGCGCCCTGGCAAGGCCCGACAGCTCGAGTGAGCTGCGCGTGCTGCGAAGCCATTGAGGGCCCACAAGCAGCCAGCTGGGGCCCAAGGCACCCCTGTGAATTAAGTACCAATATATATACTAATGCGCCTGCCCTAAAACAAGATCGTGCTCACAAGATCGTCACGAATGCGAATCCATAGCAGAGCGTGCCCTCGCTGCACCGCCGCTACTCGAAGCTCAGGCACAAGTTTTACTGTTACAAGGACATGGGGTGACGCTGAAAAGTTGGATGCAAGAACACATGTCAAACCAGAGGCATGCTGTGCTGGGCCTGCTGAGCTGCTCCCCCGTGCATTCAAATCCAATTTCTCGCACACGCGCCGCAAGAGCTGTTTACGCCCACCCACAAGGGACTTATCATAACATGTATGATGCAAGTTGTTGAAACTCTCTAGCACAGCCATCGACCGGTCAAGCACACCTGATGAGAGTGGCCAGCAACTGTGCGAGTGGTCATGACAAGGGGCCTGCAGCAAGAACCCTTCTGCAACTCGAACGGGCTTGCAAAAGGAGATGCTCCGCACCAGCAGTCAACATGTCTTATGGACTTGTAATGTATGACTAAACGCTGGACGTTGATGATGACCTCCAGGGCTTTGGTCGCCCGGCTCATTGCTACAGCATCTGCGAAAACACAAGGCAGTCAAGCTGGCCTCGCGCGACGGTGGTCCCTGGGAACAAATCCCTTGAAGAAGGACCTCAGGGCACTGCCCCGAAGATCCAGGTGTTGAGACAGGGCCTAAGCCTCAGAGCTGTCCCTGGGTGCTGCTGTTTGACTGGGCAGCCTGTCGCAGGTTTACATGGGCGGTATCTTGGGCAGGGTACACCTTCTCACACTGGCGTACACATCATGGGCGGATCAAAAGTATACGTCTGACCATGATGACAGTAGCGCGCATCCTACACCCACTTGTACGGGCAGAGGGAGCACATGTGGGGTGGCCTCATGACACTAGGTTGATTCGCTGCGACGCAGTGACGCTCCGACTCAGGCACGGTACCAAGCCGCGCGGCCATTGGGGGAGATCAATGGCTTGCGTGGCACTCAAACAAACCAAACAAAGCAAATGGCAAGCTGCAAGGACATCACCAGTGCATGGAATTGCTGCTGTTTTGTGAGTTGGCCAGGGGGCCCAGGACGAGCACGCGCGCGTGTTTGGCAAAGCGCAAGCGCCAGAGTTTGGCTGCGCGACGACTGCCTACTGTATTCAACATGCCAATAAAACATGTTTGAGGCGGCAAAACGGCACCACACATTCCACCAAGGCAAGAAGCAATTGGTGTGGGCAGGCAATGTCGACATGCTGCCAAGCCAGCCCTGAAGGGCACTGCAGTAGCATGCATGGCAGGGGTCACTCATGTGACGCAAGCGGGAAGCAGTTGCCGCGGCGCGCCACGTAAACCCCAAAACAAAGACATGAGGAAATCCACAAGTGACAAGAAGATGCGCGTAAAAATTCGTAGTGGCTGCCAAGCACTACAACCTCGCACAACACATGACTAGTATGGCGCAAAGGCTGAGATTACATCACTCTTCTTGCAGACGGTCAATCTGGCAAGGTCGATCTAATGCACATGAGACTCAGAATGCTGCTTGCGTGCGCGCCTGAACCCTGCGCCGCTTCTGATCCAACCAATGCAGGCGACACAGACATCCAGCCGAAGGAGGCGGATCACAAAGCCGCCCCTCCTTAGTGCGCAAGCGTCGTGACGGCGGTGTCTGCCACGACATCATCCTTGGGGCTTGGCCACATGGCTGAGTCGTCCGCCCAGAATTGCAGGGTGCGGCTCGACGTGCGCCGGTGATGGCATGGCCCCGACGGCGCCGCCACTGCCGCGGCTGCAGCCAGGGCCACCACAGCCGCGTCTGCTATCGTCGTGCCCGCGACGGCTGCCTCTGCGGCGCCCGCACCGGGGGTGCAGCTGCTGGCGGTCAGCTCGAGGCAGCCAGACGTGGGTGCAGGGGCTGGGCGCTGCGAGGAGCTGAGCGGCTCGGCGCCAAATTGCACCCAGCCCTTGGGCACAGACTGAGTGCTCCCTGCGCCAACCACCTCCGCCTGCGCGCGCTGCTCGCGCCACCCCGCATGGCCCTCCTCTGCATCTGCGTGATGCTGCCTGCGGGACCCATGCTGCCCCTCCGGCTGCTGCTCAACCTGCTGGTCCTGCTCATGTTCCCGCTCATCCCCGCCAGACTCGCCGTCTGCCGGGATAACACCGGGCTTTCCCAGTGCATCCGCTGCTGCCGCGGCCGCGGGGCTGATAGGCGAGCCGGCTGTCGCATCCGCGGCACCGCGCGGGTCAGAGTCGCGCGAGCGGCCATCAAGCATCCGCACCGGGCCACCGTCCGACAGCCGCGCCATGCGTGCACGCGCGCCCGACGCCGCGGCGGCAAAGCGGCCAGCGAACGCCGCCGCTGCGCCCGTGAGCGCGACCTTTGCGGCCGAGGCGGCGGCAGGGGGCGTGTGAGCATTACCAGCAGCGCCGCCGTCGCTGCTCTGGGATGCAAGGTCGTCACCGCACGCCGCCACTGCCGCCGCGGCAGCAGACAGCTGGCTGCGGTCCGAGGCGCCGCTGCCAGCCCTGCGGGAACCCTCTCGCTGCGGCGAGCGGCTCTTGCCGCTGCCACTGTGCAAGAGGCTTGCGCTGCTGCGCCCCAGGCTCGTGGCCGCGGCAAGGTTGCCGGATGCGTACAGGTCCATCAGCACAGACTGTGCGAAAAGAAAGTGGGAATGAGTGCAGGTTTGGAAGAGAAGGAGAGCGTAACAGGTCGCTGAAGAGGTGTCAACGCTACACACACACACACACACACACACACGCACGCACGCACATACACAATGTGCAGTCCGCAGGCGCCCTGATGCCAAGCCAACAGCGACACCCAAGTGTGGCCCCCCGGCCTCGCAACCCGCCGCCCGCCCGCCGCCCAGAGCGCCTCCCCACCTGCAGCAGCGGCATCGCCTGGTGGCCGAGGGCGCAGCCCATGAGGCTCGTCCAGAGGGAGCCCCAGCTCGCCGTGTCCGGCCCAGCCAGGCCTGACATGCGCTCAGACATGATCCGCCCGAAGCTCATCGCCTTCTGGGGCGTCTGCGGCTGGCCCGCGCCCCCCGACCCCGCCGGCGCCTTCGGCGACGCCGGCGGGCCCGTGGCGCCGCGCTGCTGGCAGCGCTGCCTGGCCTCGCCCTCCTTCATCTGCGGCGGCGCGCGGCAGCGGTGGTCATTATTCATTGCTGCGGGAGTGCCGCATCCCGAATCTGTTGCGATGATGAGGGCGCAGCTGGGCTGTCTGCGCCGCATAGCCGCACCGCCAAACCATCATAAAAGGCAGGCCCGAGCGCCCACGCGCTCTCACCATGAGGACGAAGCAGCAGTCCAAGGCGTGCCGCCGCACAGCGGTGTCGTCCGCAAACGTCTCTCCCGTGATCTGGGGAACAAGGGCAGCATGCAAGGGGCGGGGGTCAGCACCTACCGCTGTTGGCTCCTCATCCGTTGCTCAACACGCCCTGGATCTCGCAAGGCAAGAGGCATCATTGCATTTGCCTGGCGGCCAAGTTGTAAAGGGACCGGTGCAGCTGCTACTTTCGCTGGCCTGTGCTGCTGTAGCCCATACAGGGCCGCGCTGACTGCGGGGCACCCACCACGCGGTACAGCCTCAGCCGCAGCTCCTCCAGCACGCAGGACCCAAGCTTGTCATGGCCCTTGACCGGGCTGAACTGCCGCAGCCGCTCGGCCGCGACCGCGAGCGCGCCGGCGAGCGCAAACACGGGGCCCGCGGCGGCAATGCGCGTCGGGGCTGGCGCCAGCTGCTCCTTGATGCTGCGCAGGAAGGTCCGCACGTCCTCGCGGCTGCCCTGAGTGTACACCTTGTTCAGGATACCTGTTTGAGTGTGGTGTTGGTAACGGGTTGTCGCCGCGGTCAGCGGCAGAAAGCACCACCCCCGTGGGTGCGGTGACGCAAAGGCTTGCGGGCAGCTACAAAGCAGTGATGTTTCCTGGCTGGGGTGGCGCGATGCTCCCACTTTTCCCAACAATACGCACCAAGCAGCGCCTCCGCCGCGGCATCGGGGCCAGCGTAGGCTCCGCTCAAGAGACGCGCCCAGAACTGGCTTGCCAGCGCATCAATTGTGATCGACGGCGCCGGGGCAATCTGCAGTGAGGGGATCCACAGTCGTGAGCAGATGGACAAGTGTGCGGCGCGGTGCCGGGCGAACAGGTTGAGGCGGAGTGGTGGGCTGCAGCAGTAGGCAATGTGTTGCGACTTGCAGCGGCTTGCACGCTGCGTCAGCCGGCTGCGAGGCGCGCGGCGCAGGGCGGGCCCGCCATGAAGGCGTGCTGTGGGCTCGTCCTTTCCACAACTCTTACCTTTCTCGTCGGCGTGCCATCCATCGCCACAGTTACGACGCCCTCCTTCCCGGCCAACGCGTGTGTTGCCGACCAGCAGGCGCTCCGAGCAAATTCTATAAATTGTGGCTTGCGCAAACGTTACGAAAAGCCAGACAGGACAAGAACGCAGCGGTTGATGACGGGCAGGTGAGGACGAGGCGTCAAGCAATGCCAACTGGCTACGGCTCTTAATATTGAGCCATTCCGCAACACTTTGTTGAAATTGCGGCCGTTTGCCTGCGAATACCGCGAGCTGACCCCGTCAAATTTGATCTCTCCGCTGCTGCAAGGAAGCTGCGACCGTGGGCTGCGAACAATCGGTGCCAAGCTAGCAAGCGGTGATTGCAGGATGCAAGTCATCAACGACCTGATGGCTCTGTACAGCATAGCGCCGGCCGGGCTGCTGCTTTTGGTTTGAAGCCCAACTGCCAACTGCCTATGTCTGGCACATCCCCTGCTGGACGGCCTCAGGGACAGGTGGTGAACTCCTCGTCATATTTGAAGCCCAATCTTGCAGTACTCCTGTATGCGTGGGTGGTATATATGGTATGTATTTGGACAAAAGAGACCGCGGCGGGCTCACTGGACAATGTACATTTTCGTACCGTATTTTTGTATGGCAAGCAGCTCTAGGGTGCGCAAGATTCTTGGCTGTGCTGGGAAGCTGTGGCATCCCAGTTGAATAGACAGGGATTGCAGCCGGTGGATTGAAGCCGGAGCAACTTCGCAGAGTTCGAGAGTTGGTGACCTGCCGGCCACGCGCACGCCACTGCCGCCGACAATACCGTATGGTGCACGGCCGGGCGTGTTATACGACATATGCGAGCCATCATCCGCCCGCTCTGTGTCTTTTCCTTACACGCCGCGCTTTCTTTGCATCTCGGCACTGCGCTTTCGTGCTGATCTGGCCCACGGGCGGTTGCCTCGATGGCTTCGGAATCCAAGACGAAAGAGTTTGAAGGAGGGGTAGTCCTTTTTGCTGGCGGCACGGACTGGGCCATGGTGCGATCTGCGAGGCGGGCTGCGGTGCTCCGCCATTGGCAAGCGTCCATGCTGACCACCCCGTAACTCTTATAACGTAATGCAGCTCGGTAGATCCTCCGGCAAGGGCAAGAAGACAGACGCCGAGAAGCAGGTGAGGCCGCGGCAGCGCAAGGGAAAATCTGCTGGTGCTGCCAACGCCGCTGCAATGCAGCACAATCCTCGCTGCACCCTGCTCCTCGCCGCCTCCTCAATCGCTCGCAGGCAGAGCTGCAGCGTGCGGAGAAATACCCCAACTTAGCGACCCCACACCGGCTCAAGGGGCTTGATGTGAGCAGCGCGGCGCTCGTACCCAGCTGAAGTGACGGCGTGCCTGGTAGATGTTGCTGTGCTGACGACGCTGCCCATTCCACTGCAACACAGCAGGCAGCGCGAGCTGCTTTGTCCCCATACCAATTGCTTGGTCGGCAGCGCCCTTGGCTGCCGCATAACAATTGGCACCGCCTCACGACACCCTCGCCTGCAGAACATCCGCGTTGCATTCGTCGCGGGCGGCTCCACTGCGGTGCACGCGCTCATCGGGGACGTCAACGGAGCCTGCTACACCTGGGGCCGCAATGAGGTGCGCGCCCTTCCCGGTTCCCATCTTTGCAGGGTTGAGGGGGGCCCGGCCGCAGCGCAGAGGGCGGCCTGCGTGGGGTTCACAATAACCGGATCAACATCCCGCTGTTGTGAGGCGTAGCAGTATTGAGGGCGATGCTGGGAGCAGGCGAGGCCCAGGGCCCAGCAAGAACCGTAGGACTGACGACACCGCATTGCCTCTTGGCGCGTGGGCGCCCCGCTGATGCGCCCGCCAAGCGCAGAAGGGTCAGTTGGGCCACGGCGATACGCAGCAGCGCAATGTACCCACCAGGGTAGCTGGGCTGGATGGCAAGTTCATCATCAAAGGTGAGGGTTCGGGACCCAACCGCCACTGCCCCAGCCACAGCCCCTGACCCCCACATACAATGCACAGTGTTAAAGCAGGGGAGGTGTCGACACTGCGCGCTCGCGACGCCGGCCGCCTTGCTGCTGGGCGCCGGCGCAAGGCTCACCTCGGCGCGACATGCTTTCCGAGCCGGCCCCTGCCACACCACAAGAAACAGCCTTGTTGTCCCCGCCTGCACCCTCACCTTACCCCCTCCCCCAGCTTCCGGCGGCAAGCACCACTCCGTGGTGGTGACTAAGGACGGGCAATCTTTCGGGTTTGGGCTGAACACAATGGTGGGCCTGCTCCCCGTCCACACACCCGGGGAGGCTCACTCTCGGGCCAGCCGCACTGGCGGCTGCTTCGACGACCTCAGGGCCGCACTCGTCACACCGGTCCCGTGCGCCGACACCACAGTGTACGAGGCAGCGCCCCTTTTGCTCAACGCTGCCCAACCTCTTTGTTTTTCCTGCAGGGCCAGCTGGGCACCGGGAGCATCCGCCGCGGGAAGAACAGCCCAGACGGTGCGCACACGTCCCAGCTGCGCGGCTGCCGCACGACAGCCGTACCGCGCCTGACGCAGCAATGTGACACCGCGCGGCGTGCGCCTGCTGCCGCGCGTGGACGTGCCGCGCCCTGCTTTCCGCTCTCCGTGTTGCCGCTGCCGACGCACCTGCGCACGTGCAGCGAGCCCAGCTTTATTGGACGCCTTGCCCCCCTCCCTCCATCGCCCGCTTGGCGCCTCCCAGACATCCAGCTGGCGCCGGTCAAGTGCGCCGTGGAGGCTGCCACCGACGTGGCCTGCGGCGGCGACTACACGCTGTGGCTCGTTGGCGAGGGGGTGGGTCGTGCGCCCTCTGCTTGAGGCCAATTGGACGTGCCGCACCCTGTTTCCCTGAATAGCCAGGGCTGCGCGTGTGACGGCTGTGCTTATATTGGGGAATTGGCAGCAGACTCCTGTGCTGACGCAGCAGGTTTGGTTCTGCATCGCAGAGCGCACATAGCGCCAACCTTGCGAGCCCAGCAGCCCCTGCGCGCTAGCACCGCGCCCCACGTCGCCGGCTGCACCTCTGTCCCCCACCAGGGCCGCGTGTGGTCTGCGGGTTACCCGCAGTACGGCCAGCTGGGTGACGGCGACGACCACATGTACAACGCAAAGGAGTGTGAGTGCCGGCCGGCCCGCTCCGCCATTCTGCTCCGCGCCGCTTAGTGCTCGCGAGCGCGGGCTCGACGACCTTGCAGGCGTCCAACAATCGGCCCTCGCTGTTACGCGCGTCCTCTGTTGGCTTAGAGCCAAACATGGTCAAAGCGGCGCCCACGTTCACATGTGGCAGTCCAGCGCACGCTCCCGCGCCCCACTAGACTCGCTCCCCTCCTGGCGTAAGGCCCCACCCCTCGACCTGCGGGTGCCTCAGCTGACGTCATGATGACTCCTTCCACGGATCACGCCCAACCCCACCCTGAACCCAACCCCTCGTACCGCGCAGCCAGCATCCAGATAAAGTACGAGCCGCAGGCGCAGCCGCGCGCCATAGCGGCGCTGGCGCAGCACAAGATCGTCAAGATCGCCAGCGGGGGGACTCACGCCATCGCCGTCAGCGACGCGGTGCGCAGGGGCTTGGGCGGGTGTTTGAGTGAGCGTGCGTGCGTGTGTGAATATGTGTTGGTGCGTGTCTGTGTGTGTGTGAGTGTGTGTGCATGTGGGTGTGAGTGTGTGAGTGTTTGTGTGTGCGCGTGCATGCAAGCACGCATGCGCGCGCGTGGAGAAGAGGGCAGGGCTGGAGGTATGGTGCGCCATCGTGGCGGTCGGCGGGCAGATCAAAGCCAAGGGTTCCCGTTGGTCTGCAGCACTCTCAACC